TACTTGTTAACCCTTGCTTAACATTTATATCTCATGGAAGGATGTATTGACAACCAATCCATGTTAAATTGATTCTATCACTTCATACCTTCAAGCATTCATAAGGTAGATTAGGTGAGTATAGGCCTTTCACCCCAAATCCATCTATTAGACTTCTATTCATCACATTGACTCTACACTCAAAGCCCTAGTGATTCAACATTCATGACTACAAGCCTTACTCTCAAAGATTTACTTCATTCTATCATCATTCATATCTAGATTACAAGACATTCAAGTAATAAGCTTCATCTTAAGCAATTCTCATCACACTTCTCATTACTAGGTGATTCCTAGTCATAATTCATCATAAAGACTTAATCCCATCTTTACTAGTCAAGACCCATCATATTCAATAAAGTCTAGTTCAATTCATAAATATATTTTCCTAACCTTGAACAAATACTACTCATGTCATTGATTTAAGAGAATCACTTTTGAACCTTCGATTTGACCTCTAATGGCGTAAACCCACAAATATCACATTCATCGATTTAGACTAGGGTTTACCATAGAAATCACATAAATTCATCATAATATCACTAAACAAAGTTAAATCAACCATAATTAGGTATTATCTACTAGATTGGAATCATACCCACATCCTACCCACAATGTAAGAAGAACCATAGTTAGAATTGGGTTTTTGATCTACAATTGGGGGATTACTAAGGGGGCTCTATGGGTGGAAGAACCCATAGATGAAGAGCTAAACATACCTTAATCAATGCCCTAGCACAAGCCTTTAGCAATGGAACCTTTGTTCTTGACCTTAGCTTCAAGCCCTAGCTTCTTCTTCAATGGAGGTCTTTCTTACAGAGAGAAATATTTGAGAGATGCGTGATTTGGATTTTGATTTAGAATGACTTAGTTGGGGTGTTTAATGAATTAAAAGACTTTATATATATGTATAAAACCCATATAAAACAACCCCCATATGAAACTAACTAAATAGGAATTTACATAATTGACCCTAACTTGGCAGCCCCCGTCCAGGGACCACGCCAACTTGGACGGTCCGTCAAGGGCACCACGGCCTGTGGTGGTACCCATGGTCCCTTGACCAGTGGCCCTTCTTAGCTTGGCAACCTTCCTTGAGGCTAAGGGAAGTCCACGAGACGTCCCACGGTCCGTGGTCAAGCCAACGGGCCGTGGTGATGGTCGTGGCCCCTTAGGCAGTAGCTAGGCCTAAGGACCTTGGCTCCCACCAACCTAAGGAGACTTCACGGACCACTTCACGGTCCGTGGTCAAGACCACTGGCCGTGAAAGTGGTCGTGGTCTTGAGGAAAAACTTGCCCAAGGTTGGGCAGCCTTAGCCCTTGGCTAAGGCTTTGCCCCCTTGGCCTTGGCCTTTGCCCTTGCAACCCTATACCAATCCTTAGATGACCTTCTAAATTACGGGGTCTAACACGTACCTTGACGTTCAACCACTAACCCTCTCATTCTAAGAACGAAAAGTCTCATCTACGAATCTGTTCCTCATACATCAAACCTTAGAACCCTAACTTAAGGCCCTAGTTTAGTCTACTAATTTCGGGGGAGTTACAATTAACGAACCTAGGCTCTCATACCAACTTTGTCATGACTCCAACCGTCGTGATTGGCACCCACACTAACTCTCTGGTAGGAGAACCACTACTACAACTCAAACCAAGCAACTAAACCAAAACTAAGGCATTTAAGTTACGAAAGCAAGTTAAATACTAAGGAAATAAATAGGGAGTTCCCATAAACTCCAACAAAAGTCTAATAACGAACTAAACAATGCAAAAGAAATAACCTAAAACTTGAAAGTCAATGTACCAAAACATCTATAGTTCAACAAGTCTAAACAAGAAGGGATACAACCCCATCTAATGTACTAATAACTAATAGAACTGTCTAAGTCCGGAAGTGTCGACATAAACGAAAGGAGAACTCATGGTAGCCCAGAAGAATTGGCTCACCCTTGAATTCAAACGACGATCACTGATCTTCTAAGCGAGGTCTGTCAGTAGCTGCTTGAAGATGCCCTGTACTCAACAAAAATAAGAGCAAGTGCAGTATCAGTACACAACCACATTGTACTGGTAGGATCACGTGGCTATCCCACTAAGTGTAACATAAGAAAGTCAATACAACATTACAATCACATGCATATAACAAACATATACAATAGTATCAACATTTAAGAACAACGGAGCATTTCACAATTCTCAATTATACAGTTATGCCAAATCATTGGTCCTCTCATGGAACCCAAACCCAAACAGTTAGCATAGCGGAATGTGGTACCCGATCCAATAGTTATGCCGGAACGTGGCAACCGATCCCATATTTATGCCGGGACGTTACAACCGATCCATTCAACACACCACAATCACAATCACAAGTATATCCTCTAGATCATACAATTAAGTCATGATTTCATGATAACCATCATTTATCTATCTCATTTACAACAAGTGTGATCAATAATGCAACATTCATATACATACATGTATCATAAATGAAGCAAGAACAAACATACATCACTACAATCATAGAATCACAACCATCACCTACCTCGAAATAAGCTTTGAAACCCTAAGAAACTTGATCCTTCCCTTTCCGGATTCGTTTCGCTTGTTCTTGGTCTACAAACAATCAATTAGAATACGAGAATCAATAAACATCCACTAATTACCTGAATTTACTAACAATTCTATGAACTCTAGATCAAACCCATGATCTCCAATTGCCCAAATTAGGGTTGTTTCCACCATAGAATCTATAACAAAACCCTCCCCCATCAATATTCACCCATTCTATTACGTTCTACGAATCGAAAAATGGATTCGGGGAGTGAAAAGCTTACATTTAGCCTCAAGAATGGTGAAAAACGAGTAGGAGTCGCCTCGGGTTCGTTCCTTAGCTCTAAAAATTGAAAAGTGACAAATAAGGTCGTTTAGGGGTTTATTAACGACCTTAAGTTGCTTTGATTCCGCCACATCGGCCACCATCCCGCTACAGCGTCCCCGCCAAAGCAGGTTGCACGAAATAGAGAGTTATTTAAAGAATTTTAAAATCCCCATTTCACAACACACCTCTAACCAACGACCTCAGAAAATACCCTTTACGCTAAGATTAATTCTGGGATTTCTACTTGCCCGAATTCAATTCCGTAAAGTCATACAGGTTCCTTAACGAGTTATCTTACTACTCATGTAATCAAAATCATAAATAATTTTCCCGATTGTTACCAGATTTCCCTACACCTTAAAGACTCCGATTTCGTCCAAATCTGGACTAGGTTGAAAAAATTGAAAAAGTTTTTCCGGCCCCAAATTTTCCCCCGTTGGGTTTTCTATAACGACGGGAACAGGTTGTTACAACACCACAAATTGAGATCAATATATTTTAATTTCAAAATTATTATCAATATTTAAAAAATAATTATACCTTCATTTGATGTTAAGATTAATAAGAATAGTTACAAATTATTTTATCACTGAAAAAGAATATTGTTGAGATTAATAAGGATAATTGCAAAAAAAAAAAAAAAAGGAAGTTAAAATAAGGACTACGTGTGTTTTGTAATTTCTTAGTATTTTTGTAATTAATAACTTTAATTCTTTTAGAAAATCTGAAAATTAAATAACTATCCGTTTTTTTGTTTTTGACAGTTTTATGTAAAAGTTTTTACATAATTATTTATCAAATCAAAATGATATTTTTTGGAGATTATTTTTTAAAACAAATATTCAAACTGAAAATTGAATAATCATTTTGATGATGACATGCGACACTATTTTGCAAAATATGTATTTATAATATTCTCAATTTATTCGTTTTAGAAAATGATTCAAAAACATTTCTGGTTTGCAAATAAATTTATTTTTATTTTTATTTTTACGAAATTTAGTTTTAATTATTTTATCCATTTTTGGTTAAGTTTTTAGAGCTTGTGCCTAAGCGAGAATTTAATGGGAAGTTTTAAAAATACCTATTAAAATTCTAATTGTAATTTAGAAAATTAATTTGAGGGGAAAGTATGATAATATTTAGTTTGTTACTCAATTTTATATTAATATTTTATTTAAATAAAGAATCTAAAGTTTTTAATTTCAAATATGTCACGTTAATTTTAAGTAATTCATTAATGAAGTATCATTTTTAATTGTTTTTTTTTTCTAATTTACTTTGCCTGCTACACAATTTTAATATTGTGTTACGTCATACATTTTTACTTTCTAAACAAATTATATTTATACTTTAATATTAATATTTTGAAATTATTTGATTGTCTAAATGTATTAATAATATATAATATTTTTGTATAAAATTTTTGTCATCTTTTGCATGTATTTTATTTTCTTTTGTGATACTCTAATTAGTTTTTTATTTTTATTATGTCATTTATAACTTAAAATATTATATTCAAATTTGTCAATTGAGTTCATATGAAGTGTAAAAAAAAATTAATTATTATTTTGTACATCTTCTAGCAAATTTTTAAGAGATAATTAAATTGGCACTTTTTTATTTTAACATCTGAGTTTTAATCTTAATTATTAATATATTTTATATGAAAGTTTTTTTTTTTTAATTTAATTTGGACGTGGAGTCCATTTTATTAATGCCTTAAAAGGCCAAAGTTTTCAACATACAAAGAATCACCTGAGGGCCCCGACGGCCCATCAGATTATAAAAACAAGACCCTAGAAAATAGGATTTCCTAAAATGCTCACTTAGCTCTTTCCATTTCTCCACCCTCCTCATTTCCTTATCTCTGTCCACCGCCTGGAGATATTCTCGAAGGTGCTCCTCAACTCTAAGTTTTTGACTCTTCATCTGTGGGTAATCAACATTCTTCATGACCATCTTGTTGTGTATATCAGATCTTGCGACTATCAAAACGTAAGTATTCCTTTCAATTCTTCTGTCTAAGTGTTTCCTCTTTAGCTGAATTCTTCCTTCTTTCAGGTATACTTTCCGGTGTAGTTCATGCCTAGCTTGAAAGAGAGTGTGAGCGTTGCATTTCAGCTTTGTCGATCTGTGTAAGCACTTTTCTACCACTTTCTCCTTTATGTCTACCCTTGCTTTTCTAACTCCTTGTGTTTTCCAGTTGAAGCCGAATAGGAGATGCCCAGTTTGCTCCCGTGTTTCTTCGTCTCGATTTCTCAGCTGGATGCTCGCTTTGGTTTCAGATATGGCTCCTTGACTCTCAACTTTTGCTGGTCCCAGTAGTAGTAGTTCCTGTGTAACTTTTTGCTCCAAAAATAGATAGATACTTCTTTGTAAATATTACAGCTGTGGAACCCTATGACCTCAATGTTGTTATTAATCATGCTGCTTGTTGTTATTACTGTATATTCTCCTTGTTCTGATCCGAAGTGTTGGTACCTGATGCTTATCAATATTAAGAAGCTTTTTTCCTAGACTGGGCAGTTGATGAAAGTGATGAAAAACCTTCTTATGCTCTGTATTTATTGTTGTATTTGCTATGAAATCCGCTAATTGATTCACTTCTCTGTAAACATGACAAACCTGTACATCTATTTGCTGCATTATTTCATGTATTTCTTCCAATTTCTCAACGAGCTCCCATGGAATTTTCCAGCTTCTAGTAATCATATTTTGTAAGGCTAATGAGTCTGTTTCCAGTCTCACTTTCCTTAACCCATTTTCATAGCAAAATTGTAAAGCCTTCCACACTGTCGTTGCCTCTGCTTCCATGTTAGTGGTCTCGCCTATGTTGTGAGCCTCCGCATATAGAAGATCTCCATTCTTGTCCCGTATGCAGTACCCGTATGAGCTCATTCTTGGATTCCCTTTGCTAGCTCCATCAGTGTTGCATGTCACCCATCCTTCACTTGGTTTCCTCCATCTGACCACTTTGTAATGTAGTGGTGGCTTGTAGTTCTGTAACATGCCCACCACTTGTGGCCAGTGATATGTCAATCCTTTAATCCATGGAAATTTTATCGTTACCAACTGGTATAATATCAATTGACACTGATAATACATGTTATTGTAAGTTGTTTCCTTTCCATGTCTATAAGAATTTCTCCGCTTCCACAACTCCCACATAATGACCGCTAGTACAGCTTTAAGAATTTGACTTAACTTATTGGACGCCTTGTAATCCCACCACTTGAAAATGAGTTGTTGTAAATTTAATCCATTTATGATTATACCTGCATATGAAGCAAACTGCTTCCATAGCTTTTGGGCTATGGGAGCTGTTAGTAAAAGATGAGTCATTGTTTCCATTTCCCCTTCCTTGCAGCAATAACATTTTGACACCACTGGTATTTTCATCCTCTTAAGATTATCATATGTGGCAATTTTCCTCCTCCATACCCTCCAAAGGAAAAAACTAATCTTAATAGGCATTCCTTTAATCCACATATACCTTCTCCATTCCTCTTCTTCCTTTCTGCCCCTGATTCTATGATATGCTGATTTTACAGTAAAGAGTCCAGTCAAATTACCACACCACCAAGCTTTATCAATGCCTTCCTCCGAAGTTTTAGGTCTGATATTTAGAATTATGTGCTCCACCATCTCCTCTGATAGTAAATCTTTTAATTTTGTCTCATCCCACCCATCATTTGTGATGAAATATTGCACCTCAAGTTCCTCCTCTTGTGCACAATCTCCTTCTGTGTAGTATAAAGCTCCCTGCCTCGTCCAGTTGTCAAACCAAAAACTGGAATTCCCAGCTTTTATTTGCCACCAAATATCATGCTCCACTTCCTCTCTAATGGAGATCATTTTCCTCCATACTTGTGATGCACCCAAACTTGTGGCAACCACAGGATGTAATTTCTTACAATACTTGTTCCACATGTACTTTACCCATAATGATGTAGTGGAAACTCTAAAATTCCACCAAAGTTTTGCAAATAGAGCTTTGTTCATATTATGCAAAGATCGAAAGCCAAGTCCTCCCTCTGTCTTTGGATAACATAAATCACCCCATGCCACCCAATGTTTTCCTTTAATTCCTCCCAAGTTTCCCCAAAAAAACTTAGCAAAAATTTGGTGAATTTGATCCAACACCTTTTTGGGAGGCTTCAAGGCAGAAAGCATATACACCGGCATAGATTGAAGCACATTATTTATAAGTATCCATTTCCCACCAAAGGTCAGAAATCTATTGTGCCATGTTAAGATTCTTTTGGCAATTTTCTGAACCATCTCCACATAATAGCTTGATTTCCTCCTTCCATAGAACACTGGACACCCCAGATAAGTTAAAGGAAAATTTCCTTGACGTATTCCAGTCAACCTTCGCATCCGTATAGCTATTATAATAGGTGTATTATCATGCAGGTAGAAAAAACTCTTTGTTTTATTAACTTTTTGCCCTGACACCAGCTCATAGTCCCTAATAACCCTTATCATCTTGATTATTGACCCTCTGTCACCTGACCCAAATAGAATTGTGTCATTCGCATATGATAAGTGGTTTATCTCCGGACTCCACTTGGGAAGTCCATAGCCCTTCATATTCTCATCCCTATGCAAGTTGTTTAACCCTCTAGCTAACACTTCTGCTGCAATAATGAACAAGGTAGATGATAAAGGATCACCTTATTACAACCCTCTTGTAGAATGGAAAAAACCATGGGTAATGCCATTTACTAACACTGAGTACCAATTGTTAGATATTATCCTCCATACCATATCTATAATTAGCTCTGCAAAACCAAATTTTCTTAACACTTTTGTAAGAAAAATCCAGGAAACTCTATCATATGCCTTAGCCATATCTAGCTTTACTACCACATTAATATCTTTGCTCCTCCTGTTGATATCTCTTATTATCTCCTGTGCCAATAAAATATTCTCTGTAATGCTCCTTCCTTTAACAAAACCTGCTTGATTTTGAGAAATAATATTTGGTAAAACTAGAATCATCCTCTCATGCACCATCCTGGAGATAATCTTATTTATGAAAGAACTAAGACTTATAGGTCTAAGGTCTGCAAAAAACTTAACATTTTCTTTTTTGGGCAACAACACTAAATTCGTATGAGTTATGAACTTAGGTAATTCTTGTCCACAAAAGAAACCTTTCACCACCTTTGTGATATCAACCCCTATTATTTCCCAGCAATATTGAAAAAAATGACCTGTAAAGCCATCCGGACCACAAGCGATGTTCCCATTTAAATTAAAAACCACTCTTTTAACTTCCTCCAGCTCTGGCAGCTTTGTCATCTGTTCATTCTCCTCTGCTGTTATGCATTCAGGAATATGATCAATCATTGAGTAATCTTCTGCTTCAGTCTCCTCTGCAAACTGGTCCCTAAAGTACTCCACTGCTGCATTTCCAATTTCACTATTGGATTTCAATCCCACTCCTTGCTCTATGATTATTTCATTAATATGAAATTTTTTCCTTCTCCCTTTAACATATGAATGGAAAAATTTAGTATTCATGTCACCCTCTTTGAACCATTTCATCCCCACTTTTTGACGTCAGAACTCCTCCTCCCGTCTCAAATAATTCTTTAATTCAGCTTCGACTTTATTCAATGCAGCCCTGTTATCCGCAGACGGGTGTATTTGCAACTGTGCCTCCCTTACTTTAATGATGTCCTCCAGCGTGGCAATTTGTTGAAAAACATTGCCAAAAACTTCCTTACTCCATGCAGACAATGCCTTCTTAACATTCTTCAATTTAGCATGAAATTCAAGAAATGGGTTACCAACAAAATCAATTTTCCAGCTATCCTCCACTATTTTCTTGAACTGTTGATGCCTGCTCCAAAAGTTCATGAATCTGAAAGGCTTGATTATAGGTACCTCATCTGAGTTGCAACTCAAATGAAGTGGTGCATGATCTGACCCCTGCCTGATAAGATGGTGGACCTCAGACACAGGAAACACATCCAAGAACTCTTGATTCACCAAGATCCTATCCAATTTTTTTAAATATGCAAGCTTCCTCAATTCGTCCGTTCCACCAAGTATATTTACTTCCTGAAAAATGCACTTCTGATAAAGCATTCCTGCTAATAAAAGATGCAAAGTCTATGGCTTCATTTATAGTGAAATCCAACCCTCCCAGCTTCTCCTCCTCATCTAGTATAACATTAAAATCTCCACCGATGATCCAAGGGCACTGTACATGCTCCGCTATGCTATCCAACTCGTCCCATAATTCCAGTCTCTCCACTGTATTGCACCTAGCATACACTGCTGAAACCATGAATTCTTTATCATTCTTTTTTAATTGAAAGGTAACCTGTTACACCGTGTCCAATACTATGTTTCCTACCCAATCGTCTTTCCAAAAACACCATATTTTACCATTCTGATTTACTCCTGCCTTATCAAAGCCAAGCCGCCTTTTATATTGTTCTAACTCTGATGGGTTTTGGAATGGTTCTATAAGAGCTATAAATGAATAATGATGTCTATGGTTCAAATCCAATAACCTCTCAAAAGATTTTTGAGTATTGATGGACCTGATATTCCAGAAAATCAGTTTTTCAATCATTGATCAATACTAGAACCTCTATCCCTGCTGCTCCTTGTTTTGACCTGTAACGGGATTACTGGTCTGCCTTTCCTTGCCTTATATTTCAGACTGTTTGTATGCCTTGGCGACAAATCACCTGCCTTACTGATCTGCTGAATGTTGTAATCCATGTCCTCATCCTCTTCTGTATCTTTTTTGTGTTGTATTACTTCTTCCTCATCTTCAATTAAATTTGGGCCTTTAAGGATCTCTCCCTCTTCCTGACAGTTGACCCTCGCTTCTCCATTATCTGATATTAACATGTTTTGTGATCTGACTTCGCATTCTTTCCCTTTCGAGATTCTTCCTCCTACATCCTTATTTTTTGTCACCAAACCAGCATTCTCTATGCTGTTTTGTAACTTCTTAGGGTCAGAATGTTGTATCCTACTCCTGACTTCACTAATTGTGCGTTCACTGCTAGATGCCCTTTCTGCCACAATTGTACCTTCAATATCGTTGGTGTGCTTCCTTGTATTTCAAGAGGCATGTCATTTGTCTGTCCACACTCTTTACTTATCTCATCCTCCCTTTGTTGCTCCTTCTCCTGATTATGACTTTGTTCTTGCTCTCCAGTGTTCAACAAATTAAATTTGTTGCCTATTACAATACCCACTCTATTCCATACTTTTTGGGGCTCCTTGTTTTTTCCACCACCCCAATTTTTACGCCTTGTTTCTACAAACTCATCCCTTTTACGCATATCTTCACCTCGCATCTGTTTGTCTTTCACATTGATATCCTCTTTGCTCTAATTTTCTTCCTCCTTCTTATCCTCTTCCTGACTTACTTTCTCCTTACATGGATGTAATTCTGGATGCACAACATAACACTGTTCTTCATTATGCCCCTGAATCATGCACGTCTGATAGTACTTTGGAACATAATCATATTTAATTTTGATCCACTTCTCCACTATTTCCATATTCTGCATCCTCATTCCAATTTTAATTTGTTTAGGGAACTCCCTTAGCAAATCCACTTCTACCTTAACTCTGGCACAACTAGGCCTAGTCTGATTCTTTGTGGCCATATCAACTTGTAAGGGTTTCCCCACTGCTGCTGCTAAAGAAAACACTGCTTCCTTACCAAAAAAAATTGGTGGCAGCGCAGGGAAGGAAATCCAAGCTATAGTTGTTGATGTCTCTTCTTCTGGATTAAACATAGGATCCCACTTTAATGTTCTCATAGGATAGGACCAATTGTTTTGGGTAATGTAAAAGGCAGGCTTCGATAACAAATTAACATAATCTTCTAATAAAGTCGCCCTGATCAGTTTATGTCGATTACTCAATAACCCAATGTTGCATTCTCCCTTCAAATCACATTGTTTGGGAATAAGTTTTCTCAATTCTTGTAAATTTGGCCAGCCATATGAAAACTTACCAATTACTGCATATTCGAGGTTTTCATTGACTATCATCTGATTTACCTCCTCGTGCTCCCATATTACTTGTGATTCTCCATGCAGATAGGTGATTGGCTTCAGAGGAATAGATTGATAAGGACGTGATTTTGGCTTCAACTTCTCAGTATAAGTACCTCCAGGCACAGACGCTGACGTTATTAGACCGACCTCAGGAGGAGGTTGGCCTGTGGCCGTGGCGGCCATGATCACCGGACGGCGGTAGGGTTTTCTTGGTAGGGTTTTATTGGTAGAGAGCGTCTAGTTTAAGGTAATATTCTTTGGAGGAAATTTTTTATATATATGAAAGTTTGATTCTTTAAAAAAAAATAAAAAATTGCTGCGTAAAATTCTTTCATTATTTTAATGAAAGATATTTTACACATAAACCTTTAAAAAACTACATATTAAGCAGTGGCGTAGCCACAACCACCCTAGGATGTCCAATTTGGATATCATTCGTCGAAAAATTATATATATGTATATGTCAAATTCTACATTTAAAGGATATGTATTTAAAGTTGGACATCCTTGACAAAAGCTATGCATTTGGCGCGGTGGTAATGGGTGTCCATTAAATGAAGGAGATTCGGGTGTGAACCCCAAATATCCCAATATTTTTTTAATTTTATTTTGACAGTCACACACCATTATTCTTGGACATTCTTAATAAAATTTCTAGCTCCGCCACTGTATACAGGTATATGAAATAATAGCATTCTAAAATCTTAGTGACTACTTTTTTTTTCCATATAAGTTGCAAAATCCTGATGATTGTTGAAAAACTAAACACACAAAATATTATTAAAAGAGTAGTATTCATAAAGCATACTTTAAACATCAAAAAACAAGTTAAGCAAAGGATCTAAAAATAATTGTTGAAATTCGGTAATGACAATTGTTGCAATTCGATAAACTAATCTACATATTAAAAGAATAATTTTCACGAAACAAACTTTCAAAAAAATAATTAGCAAATCAGTTCTAATATAATCCATCAGAGAACTTTAAAAGCAATAGATGAAACAATAACTTTTCAAAAATGATTTTCTACCTTCTTATCTTGAAAAATCAATTCAATAAAAAATAAGCTAAGTGGATATTTGCAATGTGGTACATTCCATCGTTGTATAACTCCAATTCTACATTGCTTATCATTGATGAGTTCACATTGAGTAGACATATCATATTGTACCGAAAGGTGTATGCATTTCAAACATTTTTTATGCTTACCAATTTGAATTATAAATTTGCAGTAGATAACTATTTATTCAAAAAAATTGAGTATATTACATATTAATAGAATGATATAACCTTTTTGAGTAGTTATCTTGAATTCAAATCCCCCCTAATATGCAGTAAAATTCGTTTCTTGCATCTTTATATTCTCTTTATATTTTATCAAATTAAACGACATAAACAAACAATAAAGTCGAGCACAAGCACGGGCACACCACATCCATCTAGTAACAAAAGAAAAGGGACTCTTAACAAGTACAGTCTTCTTCCAAGATATAAACCACGCAATTTGTACAAATTTGCTTCTTCCCTATTCCAATAGGACTACAATAATTTCTTCCCCTAATAATTGCAGTTACATAAATACCATGCATACTTACTACATTAATACAATTTTGAGAAAAAAGATGTATGATCCAATATATAAATAACATCATAAACAAAGCTCTAGTAAAAATACAATTTTGTCATTAATTTAAGAGTAAAAATAACTGAAAAGTAACATAGATATTATTTCCGAACAAACATACTTTCACAGTATCACCAACTCAATATGCGAAGGCACTTCTCTTTCAAGCTGGAGCTTAGCGTATTTTCTTGCAATTCGCACAGGCTTACTTTCCCTTGGTTCCCCCTCGATACGAAAATTATCTAGTGGAAGAGGATCAACCAAGATTTTCTCAAGCACAATAGCATTTTCCAAAAAATATCTAACGAGTTCAAGCTCACTAGTACGGCCATAATATCCGTACAGCTTGAGCACTTTGAGGTGATGAAGAGGACAGCTTGCGACCTTTCTACACTCTCTTTTTGACCTCTTTGGTTTGATCCATATCAACTGCCAATAAGAAAATCAAACAGCAACCTGTTATCACAAACTCAAAACGAGGAGAAGAATCACTAAGTTGAAACCAATCGTACAACAAAATCAACATAGCATCGATCACCATCAGTATCCAGAATGGAAAAAAGATATGCAGTAGCTATTTATGGGACTTGTGATTTCCTCTCCAAGAGAAAACTACTCTAAAATAGCTATGATTTACAGAAAAAGGGGAAAATAAAAAAAAGTTTACATTTTCTAGAATATTCCACAAGTCATTTGGTTGGGATACCAACGAACTCCCAAGTGCCAAACACATCCCATGAGTCCCAAAAACATAGTTGAAGTCCTCATCTTCATAGCCTCTATTATGATATTCATCCTAGAAAGCATTACTCAACTTACTTCACAACTTATATACATTGCTAGCTTGTTCTTTTCGGAAATTGGTTCATGAATTGAGGACAAGTAGGTTTACAGTCCAAATAACTTTATATAAATTTTGGGAGCAAAATAGTCATACTTCCATATTCTGCCATACATGTCTATTATTTGCAAGTTTAAGAATGAAAATCTCGTAATGTAGTCAACTATCAAGTTACCGACAGAAGTAGTAGTAATACAAATGAGATGCCAGAATCAGGATTCCATTCTGGAGGAAATCCAGCTAGCATACCAAAGAGCTGTTAGACAGTAAAGATGATTTAAGTGGATGAATTATGAAAGAGGCAATTCAGTCAACACATCTACCCACAACCCATTGAAAGATGGACACCTAAATAAGGAACACATTCATACGGAATTTGAAGTATAGAAGCACAAGCAGGCACTAGCTAATTTGTGAAACAAAACTAAAAATGGCCAAATAAAACTTGACACTTACATTCAACTCGAATTCCGTCAACTGTGGAGCAGCCTCTATGACTTTAGTGCAATCTAAGAAAGTTCTGTCCTCCCATGCTTCCAAAACTAAGACAAATTTCTTGAGCATGGTAAGTTGAGGAATCTTGTATTTCCCCAAATAAACCTGGGAAAAATTAAAGCACACCAATTAGTACAAGCAGCAAAGTATACAAAGGTAAATACACACACATTTCAAAAGTTTGTTCACTGACCAATCCATACTCAGAATGTTTACCAAATATTGTAATGTCAGAATTTATCTTGAGGACCTCTAGCTGAGAAAGAACACAAGAAGAAATACAAGGCAACATGGCATCCAAAATATTTGTGGGAAAACCCAAAGCATGTAACTCAATCAGCATCGGAACATTAACAAGCAATAATCGAGCTGCTGATAATGTAGTCGAAAGTGTTACAAGGTTTGTATCACAGATTTTAAGTGATTTTAGTGCTATACAGTACCATATACTCAAGTATTTCAACTTGACGGAAGGACCAACGACTTGAAGATTTACCAACGTTTCCGATGCATGAACCGTCAGTTCTTCAAGAGATGGACAATTGTAAATGAAGAACTCAACAACTTCCCCAGTCAAATTTACGGACTTGAATAACAGTACCTTTAAAGACTTAAAAAAATTATGCAAGAGAGGTGGCAGCTTGTTCAAACGAGGTTGAGCAGAATAGTCATAGTCATTGAGACCAAAGTGTTGGACGGGGAAGTTATAACAACTCCCAATATATTGAGGTAAATCCCCACCATCTAACAAGTCCAACTCTAGCCTTTGAACTTGCCTAGCAACGGCAAACTCAAGCCACCTATCAATCTTATGCTGGGCAAATTTGTTTAAATCAAAAGAAATACGAAATTGGTCTAATCTCTCAACTTTGCACATTTTCAAAGTACGGCTGACCCATCTGATGTACTTCTTCATATACATTTTCCTCAGCTTGGGATTTAATGCTACTTCATTTAATGGTTTGGTGGCATTAAAATCAAGCCTATAAATATATGTCCACAAGGGTAACCATCTTTTGGAGAGGACACTGGTGTCTGCTGCTTCCTTAACAGTAAGGAAAGACAGTATATGTACAAGAATTTCATCAGGTAACTTACTAATGTGATCCTCTGCAGAGCACTAGAAAATACAAGAAAAAGAAAAGCAGCTTCATCAAATCCATTTTAATCATGAATCACAAAAGAATTGCGGCCTAAGCCTTGTAGTTTACCTTCTTTAGAGCAAAATTATTGGAAAGTTGATGTCTTTTCGCCATGAGAGTATATAAACACACTTTTTAACTTTAACCAAACACTTAAAACTGTTTAAAACTTATTTTGAGCACCTACAATAAGCCAATTCAGACACACACTTAGTCAGATAAAGTTTGCATTTTTCTTCATAAGATACTCGAAAAAATTATTAAAAATGGAATTAAATTACAAACAGCTGGCTTAAAATTCCATGTTTTGTGTAAATTCGAACCTAAAATCTTCAACTTTTGGAATAAGATTTATTTAATTAAAAATTAAATTAAAAAAATATTATAGTTAGACAATTCAAAATCTTTATAAAATAAAACAAAAAATCATGAATAATAACGAGTATTAATAATCATCAATCAAATTGACTTAGTAAGTAATTCTCATCTTATACGTTTTCACCATATAATTTTTTTTTAAATAATTGAAATTTATGGAAAGCCGATAGCAAGAATACCTGGGATTCACCATACAGGATAGCCGATAGCAAGAATACCTGGGGAAGAATAAGCAAGAAGCCAACAACTGAAATAAAAAACTTATGCGTATATATATTATATATATATAGAAAAGAAAACCCTGTTAAAGGGTTGGGGGTGGGTGGCTATCGGGCATCTCCTATCCTACCCCATATTTTATTCTCCAAACAAGGACTTCTTTATTTTTGCAGACAATGAACTTCAATTTAATTTTTTATTTTACTTTCTAAAAAAGAATTATTTTCTCTCTCTTAAATATTATATTATTATTTCTATTTTTTATTTTATTTATTTTATAATATAAATTATATATATATAAAACCCTGTAAAGGGTTGGTGGCTCTCGGGCATCTCCAACTCTGTATTTTATTCTCCAAATATAGAGTTTTTTATTTTTTCAGATAATCAACTCCAACTCAATTTTTTATTTTACTCTCTAAAAGGAATCTTTTTCTGTCTCCTCAATATTATATTATTATTTTTATTTCATTTTTATTTTCTTATTTAATAATCTAAATTATTTCTTCGTTTTGCAAATAATTACCCTATAATCTATATAATCTTCATGTAATATAAATCTTATTCTTTTCGAAATTTTTATTAAATATAAAATTATATTTTATTCTAAATTTCTAAATAAAATAAATTACAACAAATATTTTTTTTCAATTATATAGAAGGGAGAGTTTTCATCTTTCAACTTGGCTGTTTTTTGCCATAGGAAAGCTTAAGGGCAATTTGGTCATTGCCCCTTGCAGTTAATATCCAGAATTGCATAATAATCCTCCTGGTAGCCGTCAGAAACATATATACTATATTTTTGGTTAACAACATTCTTTATTTTAATAGTTCAAGATTCATGTTTATCAATGGAGTATTACTCCATTTATTTTTATTTGTCATGTTTTATTTTTAAAAGTTAAAATATAAAAAATTTAATTAATATTTGAAGTTGTATTTTCTTATTATATTAAATTAATATGAGAATAGTTGCAACTTATAGTATCTTTCATATAGTTTTAGAATATCTAAAATTTAAATTTAAACTATTGATAATCAAATTCAGTATAGCTCTAGAGATTAGTTAATAAATTGACTCTCATAAAATAAAACATGACAAGTAAAATTGAACGTACAAATTGCTTTGTAATTTTTGCTGAGCATTTTTTCAATGAGATTGTTTTAGAAGCAACAAAATAATAGGATCTTGTGATTTGATTAGTTTTATATTAGTTTTGGGTTAGAAGATATATAATTTGAAGTTTTGTGTTAGAGGAAGCAACTGATTGTTTGTTTGAATTATAATTGTTTCGTAAAACAATTGAATTATAATTGGGTTGTGGATTAAATGTTAATGACGACGATAATTCTTATCTTTTGACTATTTAGTTCAAAAAAAATAGTTAATCATTTTGCTTTACGGAAACCAATATAAGTAATTTGCCTTTCAGAGCACGATAACACATACTCCCTCCGTCCCTATTTACTTGTCCATATTTCCTTTTTTGGTTGTCCCTATTTAGTTGTCCATTTTGACAATTCAAGAAAGGACAACAAATTTTTTCCTATTATATCCTTATTTACACTTCTTGAAAATTGTAAAAGTGTATGTTGTTTCCCTCCAATTTATTTCATTTGAATTCAAATAAGTGGTTGTAATTTTGAAGTGAAAAAGTTGTCATAAGGGTAAAATTGTAAACTTCACTGTGCTAATCATTGTTGCCTTAATCTGTGTGCCATTTCTAAAGTGGACAACTAAAAAAGGGACGGAGGGAGTACTTTATATATATTCATATTTTTCTTCATTAAAAATAGTTTTTTTTAATGATTAAGACGACATTACGAAAAGAAAGAGCAAGAGCACAAAATAAATAAATATATATATATATATATACTCCTTTCATTTTGATTTATGTGGTGTATTTAATTAAAAATATACTTCTTTCTTTGATTTATGCGGTATACTTTGATTAAAAATATTTTTTTTATTTAAATTTATATGATATAGTTTGACTGAATGTTGATTTGTTAGAAAATTTTACTTGAAAGAAAAAAGTTATGTATTAACATATTTGGGTTCATAACTATGATAAAATAAAATCTTTAAAGTTAAATTATTATTATTTTGAAATTAAAAAGTTAAATTATTTTAAAACATATATAATGACTTTTTTTAAAAAAATGAAAAAATAATACCATATGAAATTAAATGAAAAATATATGAAATTGAGTTGTTTCTCGATGATAAAGTTGAAAAATATCTTCCTCTTGATATAATCCTTAAAATAATTTAGAGTTTAGACTTTAATTAGGACATTAATAGTTATTTATTTTTATTTGAGTAAAAAGTGAATATATATATATATATGGAAGATATTAGATAAATAAATAAATATATATATATATATATATATATATATTTATTTATCTAATATCTTCCTCTTGCTACATTTCTTAAATAATTAAGAGTTTAGACTTTAATTAGGACATTAATAGTTATTTATTTTTATTTGAATAAAAAATAAATATACATATTTATCTTGATATTTGTTGTTTTAACCAAAGTATATTAATAATTTCAATTTTTAATAATATTGGTCCCGTGTCATGGGCCATTTCCTCTAGTGTATATAATACATATTAACAAACAATTCAAATAAAAGTGAAATCATTGATGAAATACAATTACCTAATAAATAATGCATTATCGTAAAATTTAATTTTAGATTTTACATACATACTCGACTTTCAAGACTATTGCGTTGCTCCTGTAATACTCTATTAATGCATTACAGAGTTCAAAATGAGTAATTTTTTTCCTTAATTTTTTATGTGTAGCTAAAAATTGTTCAAATTAACAATTTCATCTTGTATCCAATTATTTTGTGTACAAATTTACTTCCCCTATTCCATTTTGAACTATTACAAAAAGTATTTTCATGCTCATTAAAAAGTGTAGTTTAATAATTTATCAATATAACATAAAAGTAGATTGTTTGAATTATCATGTAAATTTTATGTATTCTTCACAATGAAAAATAAAAATAATTTTAAATTAAGTATTTAAAGTGACGATTTTTTTTAAAAAAAATTAGAAAAATTGTTAATTCGGGATGAAAATAGTATACTTATCAATAATATGTTTCTTTAGATGTTATATACTTAGAAAATAATTCAACTATTAAAGACTTAATTAATAGTCTCATATAACATAAATAATATTAAAATAATTTGAAATTACATATTTAAAGTGAGAATTTTTTTTTAAAAATAAAATAGAAAATTATTAATTCGGATAGAAATAGTAACTTGTCAATAATATGTTTTTAGATGTTATATTATATTAGAAAATTAATTACAAATAATAAAGACTTAACTAATGATACGATAGAAATAATATTAAAATAATCAAAAAGTGAAATAGAGATGTGAATAGTAGTTATCCAAATATAGAGAATAGAGAGTAAAATTAGGGGTGTTCACGGTTTGGATAAAAACCGATACAAACCAAAAACTGAACTAAATCAATTTTTATTTGGGTTAGGTGTGGTTTGGTTTTAGATTTTCAAAAACTGATAGTATATGGTTGGTTATGGTTTTGTTCGAAAAAAACCGAACCGACAAATATATACATATATTTTATTAATATACATACATAATATATTCTTTTTATAAAAAAATTTAAAGATCTTATATGTGTTTTCATCAAAATTTATTAATAATTTACTTATGAAAGAAAAAATGTCCAAGGTGAGAATATTTATCTTATTGGTTTGATGTATATGAGTGTGTCTATGACAATTCTTTATAAGATTGAAAATATCACTTTCTCTTTCTTCTAGGCCAAAATAATGAATTTTGAAGCTTTAGTCAGAGTAAATTCAATGATTGAAAGTTCTGTAATGTCAGTTATTCTAATTATTTTCATTTTAAATGGATTGTTGTCACTTTTTTCATGTTTTGAATGAATTACTTCTTTTATTTTTGTCTATGGTTAATAACAGAATAACCAAACCAAACCGAACCTATAACATCTCGCTAATTGAAAGAACTAGAAAAGTTAGAATTGGGAATAGTCATTTTATGAAAGAATGAAAAATCTGGAAATTTGTTAAGTTATGTTAAGTTGGGTTTTTGGTTAACTTCAAACGACCATAACTCCTAGCTCAAGATGAGTTAGGTGTGCTTTCAGTAGATACTGTAGGAAAGATCTTGGAATTATCTTTCCAACGCCGCCGAGTTTGTGCGATTTCGAGTTCATATGGGTGAGATATGCCCATTTGAAGTTGGAATGTTCAAATAAGGAAAGTCTAAACCGGATTTTGAAATGGTATTTTGGTCTTTACCATACCCAATTAAATTAATTCAGTTTTGGTAATTACTTAGGGATCTAAACTGAACTTGGTCAGTTTACGCTTTTGAAAATTGAGTTAGGGTTTTAGAGAAGAGAAAAGAAGAGGAGAAAAGAGGAGAACAAGCAAGAATCGTCAAATTCTCGAAGCCAAGATTGTGGATTTCGTCAAGGGGTGATCCCTACGAGGTATGTTAGGCTTTCATAACGTTGGATTCGTTCACCCACGTGCCAAACATGTTTATTTTAGCGTGAATTCGTCTTAAAAGGGTTGAAAGTTTGATGTTCTTGATATGTATTCTTGAATTTGATGTCGTTCTTGAATTGGGCTGAGATTGAGAAGTTTCTGAGATCATTATGTCGAATTATAGAGTTGCTTTGAGTTAGGTTCTTAGCTACATTTGCTGGGTATCTGAATCTAAAAAGAATTTGGCAAAAAGAATCGAGTTTAGGCAAATTGGGGCTGGAAAACGAAGAAGGAAAATTGTTGGGCGAATCTGGGTACCAGGTCCGCGACGCGGACCTGTTCCTCAGAATGGGAAAATTTCCCTCCCGTCATGGAGTGGTCACGGACCGCTCTGCCTCAAAAATTATTTTTGCGACCAAATATTTGAATACATCTCTGCGTCGCGGACTTGCTTCCAGGCAGTGATTTCTTGATCTTTTCTCATGTTTGACTATCTAAAAACACTCCTAAACATCATGAGATCATTTCTATCACAATCCTTGAATCCATAATTCAATTCAAGGAAATTAAGAGTCCAGTTAAGAGAAGTTTATAAAGTTTTCAAAAGACTTTCACAAATATTTTAGCTTTG